TTTCTAAGTTTGTAATTCTGGTAGATTGTATGGGTAATTCTTGTAGATTGCATACCAGCTGTTCATTCAAGTTTTGATCAAAGTTGGGAGTAACTGATTTTAGAATAAAATTTTAAATCTTTGATCTGATCATCTAATTTTAGTCGTATCTAATCCAAATTTTGTAAGAAGTTTCCACTTTTTAAAAAAGGTTAGATTGTTGGGCGGATGATTAAGATTAAACTTATTAAGATTAAGCTTGTGAATATATGGATATGAAAATTGGAAGGTCTAACAGAAGTCTATGCTACCTAGCTAGACTCAATTTTAGCACATGAATTAACTGAAAATGATCTAACCATTTTGTCCTGTATTTTGTTTTAGTTTAACAACATATAATATATTATATATAATGGAATTTCAAAATTTGACATTTTTCAACAATGAAACGTTTTTATAATGTCCCACCACAGACCCATAACTGTTATTTTCGTCGGTTACCATCATTCGCCCACTGGCAGCCCATCTCAGTTGATTCTCGCCAACCACGTAACATCCTTGATGGGTTTCTCGATCATGCTGGTCGTGGTCCCGACCGTCGGTCATGTATCTTTGTGGCTCGGCCTTTCTCGTACATAGCACAACTGTCGTGACTAATTTTCTGGGATTTAAATCTTGAACTGGGACGACAACGAGGACAATTAAAAAAAAAAACAACTAGGTGTTCAACCTTTCTGTTCTTTGACTTTGTTAGCTTGTTGTGCCTACACGGTGAAAGACCGACATTCTAGATTAAGGAATTATCTCATAAAGTTTCGGTGGGACAGTATGATGATTGCTAGTCTCGAAGGTTAGCTCACGAACTTTTCAATAGGAACATAAAGTTACCCTAATTTAAGAGTACAATCCCATGTGTCGGTTTGAGTCAATCTATATGGTTTCACACCCTCTCTTATAATGAGTTTATTTGCCAAAAAGTATTGGTACTAGAGTGAAAAGGATAGTGGAGATTTTGATGCAACCGTTAAATGGCTAACAAACTAGAAAGCTACTAGTTAAAGTGACATCGTACATATTGCTAGCACCTTAGAGAACCATTTTTCATTCCTGGGTGTCATGGCGGTCTATTAGATTTTTAGGGTTGTTTAGGCCATTAAAATCTCATCTCGCATTTTTAAGACACTTAAGGTTAGCTCCTCGGGATTAATCTAATCTATGAGTTCACTCAGGTCTAAACCTTTTACTGTTGTTCGTGATCATGGGGTCCATAGTCTACTAGAAACATACTAACCTAGGTCAACATATAAACTGCTCTAGTGGTAGGGCTTAATCTTAACTTGGTTCGCTCACACATGCTTATTAGAGAGATATTTCTATCGAACACCTAAAGTGTGAAAACACATTCTAAATATGACTTTGGTTATCTTCAAGTGTTGAGGAGGTCTACTAGGTTTCTAAGATGACTAGGTGGCTTAACGTGAATTTTTTATTCTAGGGTATTTTGTTCTAACTCCTTGAGTCTTTCATAGTCTGGGAGCACTAGGGTCTAGAACCTTTCATTGTCGCTCATGATCCTAAGGTTCTCAATTTACTAGAGGTATCCTGACCTAGGATATCATCTAACCAACCTAACTCTAGCACCCTAGTCTTATCTCTGTAAAGATAAACATGCTCTATAGGGAGAAAAACAAATCAACCACGTAAAGTTAGACAAACTATATCATGTATTCATACCAGCTCAATAGGGAGATAACATCCATCGATCATCAATAGCGCATATCATAATAATTCATCCTCAAATTAACACAGTGGAAAGCGCATAAAACAACATAATTCTCAAAATCTCGACCTATGGACATTTCGGTAATTATCCACATCATCCATAGCTTACTCAACCAAATTACCCTACTTGAGTTCTACCATGCATAATCCCTTTCTAACTTGGCACAAAGCATAAAATTCATCCTACCACTCAAAATCTCAATTTAGGGGCATATCAATAATTTTTCATATTATACATGCTATGTATTCTTATTCAAAATTACTGTTATTAAGTCCTATACATCATATTCTAACCACCAAAGGTAAGTAATGTTCACATGCTAGGACATCCTAGCGATCCCTACATGTATTGCATGAAAAGGTCTGAGTGGCTACTTACATGGATGATGCTTGACTTCCTAAGCTAGCCTTTCCACGTGTTTGTCCAAAATTTCTAAAATTTCTCTATAGATCCTAATTCAAGTTAAGTTAGGTTATTATCAAAACTAAAACAAAAAAAATAATTGAACATAAGTCGAATGGGACAAAAAGTGGGCTTACACACTTGTGTCATGCGCTTACATGCGCCCTAGAGGAGTCTTTATGCCCATTTCCATAAAAGCTTTCTAGGGAGGATACTCACCCCCTTTGCATAACACATGGTGCATCTAGATAGGTCGCATTGTGTCAGGTTGGGTCACATGAGGGGTTTGGTCTAGTGCAGGTAAACCAGGTTGAGATGGAGCAGGTCAGACACGTGTCGGGACGGAGTATGTCATGGACTTGGGTTCTCCTTTAATGTCGCGGTGTGTGGTAGTCGAAAATGCCAATCGCATACCTATGTCATTTGCTGACATGTATCTCATATTTAGAAATGTCAATCGCATACCTATATCATTTGCTGACATGTATCTCATATTTAGTCAGATGGGCTCTATAGTTGGACAACACATGTGGCTTCTCTTTATTTGATATCTAATAACTCTCCAAAATTAGAGTTATACCAACCCATTTAGGAATAATTTTGGGTTTATACTCACCAATTTTTCATTAATTGCTCTATTTATTCTAATTAGTAAGTATGAAATAGTTCATTGCATTTCAATATAATAAGAGGATCAATTTACTTAAACAAGCCTTACTATACATAGAATTGAATTATTTTATAAAAAGGTAAAACAATTATACTGAATCATGATATTGTAGCAAATTTGAAAATGGGCGATTCTAGTCGCAAAAATTTTAATTCAAATGAGGAACTTGGATGGTTGAAAGCTACCATGGTGGACAAACTACCCCTCCTCAACCCTAAATGGAAAAAAAGAAACAATATATAAGGGGAAAGGTTTCCAAAAAAAGAGGGAAGCCACAAATGGAAAAGACGGAAAAAAAGACATAAATGGAAAGGAAGAACAGGGAGTGCTGCTGCTGTAGAAACGAGAAATGAGAAGGAAAAGAAGAATTCTAATCCGCCGTTGACCGCCGAAGGAAAAAATGGACTAAGAAAATTATATAAAGGCAAAGAGGTGGACAAGAGAGCTCCAAAAAGGAAACTTCCATTAAAGGACCATAACAAAATTTGATAATTCTCTAATCCCTTCCTCTATTTACTTATTGTATTAATTTTATATGATTCCGATGTTGATTCCAATTAGTTACTATGGGGAGATAAACCTTATAGAGAGATAAGAAAGTTGTATGTAATTCAAGCATGTTGATGGTGTGATTTTAGTTTTAAAGAGTTATTATTATTAATTTACATGTTTGTTTAGTTGGCAATTTTACCTATATAGTTGCTCTTTTATTCGAAAGTGATATGAACCACGAGTAAGGAATTTTCATACCTCAAGGTCCAATTACAAGAACGAGAGCCAAGAAGCTATAACAAACCTTATACACTTATATTCAAGATATGGTGAGCTCATCAAAGGAAATTCTATAAGACGTTGAAGACCTCCCTTATATGTTGTGCAAAGCTAGAGTTTCAAAACAGAGATGCATTAAATGTACTTTAAGTTGCATTTAATGAACTCAGTTGAATTTATGGAACTAGTCCAATGATGATTAATAAGCACATTTCATTCCTATCACTATTTTATTATAATTTAAATATTTGTTTGTTATATTTAAGATGATTTTGAACATAGGAGTTAAAGGTTATATTGTAATCCACATATATTAACATATTTCTAGTTAACTAGCCAATTTAATTTGGGTGTTATGTGTCACATACGTTAAGATTGTAAAAAAAAGAAAAATTCTTTAATTAGAGACCTCACATTTTGGAATTAAAAATAATAGAATTTTTATTTTAGTTTTATTAAGAGCTAAGTTTTTTCTTTGCAAATTGTTGTGTTTAGAACTTGCATGCTAGAGTCATTCAATTGGTATTGATCAAACCTCTTGTGGAGTGATTTGAATCACAAGTTTAGAAACGAGTTTTCTTTACCCTTGATCTTGATCATCAAGATAATCCGTTCCATACTTTCTCTTGGGTTGATTCCATATATAGGTTCTCTATGGAATCGGTAATTTACTTATTGCCTACTTGTGACCGTGTATACTTGCATTTGTTCTTATGATCATCACACTATTTTACTATATAGCTTCATAAGTAATCAAGTTTTGGGTGTCGCTAATGGGAAACCTAATTTAGTTGTAGATTATTGTGAGTTGTAGTAAAAAAGGAGTCATATAAAGTTGAATTTTATATTGTTGAATTTTTTTGCTTTAGAATTTGGTGTATGAACCCACGATTTAGAATTTATTTTGGACCCCGAAATAGATAGAACTTTTAGGCGAAAGTTATAGGAGAAAAGGTTGAGAATGGAGACAAAATATATAACAAGGAGACCTTTGAGCCCAACCAAATTAGAGTTTGAAAATTGAGCCGTGATGGCTAATCTAGAAAGAATCCTTGCTAATGCTATTCATTTATCAATCAGAGCGTATGCATATCCAATTGTGGAAGAGCTACTACTTTTGAGCTAAAACCAGTGATGTTTCAAATCGTGTGAACTATTGGCCAAGTTCATGGACTGCCGTAAGATCTCCACCTACCTCTAAAGTAATTTTTGGGAGTTAATGACTCATTCTGATTCCAAGAAGTGGATAAAAACATTATTAGACTAAGTTTGTTCTCTCGTTCTTTGAGGGATGGTGCTAAATCATGGTTAAATACCTTAGCACCAGGAGCAATTGATTCTTGGAATAGTCGAGTAAAGAATTTTATCAAGTATTCTCCACACACTAGAAATGCATGGTTCAGAAACGAAATTGTTGCTTTTCTATAGTTTGAAGATGAAACATTAAGTGAAGCTTGGGAGAGATTCAAGGAGATGCTTAGGAAATGCCCTCACCATGGACGATTCCATTATATCCGATTGAAGACTTTCTACAATGGACTAAACATTTCTACTAAACAAGTGGTGGATGCTTCAACCAATGGAGCTATCTTGTCAAAGACGTACCATGAAACTTTGAGATCCTAGAAAGAATATCAGCTGACAATTGTCAGTGGGCTGATATGAAGAGCAATCTAGGAAAGAATATCCAAGGTGTACTCGAAGTTATGCTTTGACCTCTATCAATGCTCAATAGCTTCGTTGGCTAATATTCAACATACTCTAGCGTTGCGACTAAAACACCAGTCAAAGTTGTAGTTGTAATGACTCAACCAATAGTTGGATATTGTGTATATTGTTGAGAGGAACACATTTTTCATCAATGTCCAAGTAATTCAGTTTCAATTTTTTTATGTGGGCAAATCAAGATAGTGAAGGCAACCAAAAGAATAACCCACTCTCAAACACGTAAAATCAAGGTGGAGAAACCATCCAAACTTCTAATGAAAGGGACAAAACTCGTACAATCAACAAAGGCCACTTAAGATAAATTAACCTCAAGGCTTTAGACTACAAAATCAAATGACATATGATCCTCAACAAACAAATATCTAGACAAAAAAACTAGTCAAGCTCAGCATATACTAGGGACATCACTTGAGAAGGGTGCATATATATTTTATGTATTTGTTTGATCAAACTTCTAAAGTCTTAATTAATACTTCAACTAACAAGAAAAACAAGAAATGTTAAATCAAACTCAAATTCTAAATTAAACAAAAGGTAAAAGTAGGGCCTTTGTCTTTTGAATACGTCAATATTTAGAAAATTATTAAATACAATGAATTCATATATTTGAAAAGATCCAAGGTGTCAATTAGTCAAATTCAAATAGATAAGATCAATTAGAAAGGAAGAAAAATAAAAATCAAACAAATATATTTTTTTTTTAGTCACAAAAAGCATATTTTTGTATGTTCGTAAACTCAACAACGATAAATGGGGTGAAATGATATTTGAGTAGATCGTAATAAAATCCATGAAATAAATAATAAATAAGAGACATTTTAAAGAAATAAAAATGGGATAAATGCAAATGGAAGAGAGAGGGAAAGAAAAAAGAAAAAGAAAAGGAAAGAAGCATGAAAACGAAGGTTGTGAAAAGGAAGGAAAGGTCAATGAAACAGGAGAATTAGCCGCTGGTTTGGTATATTCATGAATGCACACAGCCCACTGAATTCGCGAACAAACAAAGCACAAACCAACAACCAATTTTTGGGGCCTTTTCTTTGTGCATATATAATGCATTAACAAACCATCCAATCACACACACAAATTTGTTCAACGATTTCTTCGAATGGCGCGTTGGGTGAAACCAGAGGTCAGCCCCCCAAACCTTCCATTTTTCTTTTCTTTCAACAATAACTCTTGTTTTTTCTTTTCTAAGTTCTCTTCCAATGTAAGTTATGGTTAAATGTTTCCATAAATGGGTTAATTATATGATTTGAATATGGAAGGTTTATCCGCTAATGGCAGCCATGGGGTTTGTGACCACTATGTGCGTGTTTCAGCTTACCAGAAATATTTTGATCAATCCTGACGTCAGGTACCTCCTATTTTATTATTCGGGTGTGGAAACCTCTCCACTAGTAGAAGCGTTCTTAAAAAACAATATAGTCTATATGTTTAACAAATAAGATAATGAAATCTAAATTTTTGTGATAATTTTTTTTAACGAATGTAATTTATTATTATTGGTAGGGTGAATAAAGAGCACCGTAGAATGGGAGTGTTGGAGAATGAAGAGGAAGGAGAGAAGTACGCAGAGCACAGCCTCCGGCGGTTCCTCCGGACACGGCCACCTGAAATCATGCCCACCATTAATCGCTTTTTCTCTCAAGACAAATAATTTAAATCAACATTTTCCTTTAAATTCTTTTTTTTTTTTAAATTTTATTCTCTACTTTTTTATTTGTTTCTATGAATGTAAGATGGCTTTATCTTTAACGCACCACTTCGTTGTCTTAATGATGTTGGATAATAACACCAATACCTTTGTTCTTGTGGTTAAAGCTTTATTTAATATTTGATATTATAAAATGAATTTGAGAAAAAAATCATTTTGAGTGAAACAATGAAATACTAAAAATGATATTTTATACGTGTCTTAAATTTGTTCTACAATTATAAAACAACCTAATATAATGATTTGGTATGAGCATGCGGGTATGGACAGCACACCATAGACAAGCATGACCGAAACACACAAACTTATAAAGCTTTTAAACATATGTTATCTCCAATCTTGAAAGTCGAGGAGGTAGATAATGAATATATTAAATAAGTATCCTATTGAAAGAATAAATAATACATGCGTTTACGAAATTCTAGAAAATTAAAGGGATCCATACGTCATAAAATGGATGTTAAAAGAAAAACGAGCATTTTAAAGTTAATTTTTTTTAACATCCAAGTCATAAATTAATTCTTACCCAAAGATAAGAGTTAGAAAAATCTTTTACTTAATTGTTAAGTTACATGGAATAACAAAAATTGGACTCTAATTATTGATTTGATAATGACAACTATTTCATACAACATTAAAGAACTTTAAGAACATAGATTCAAAAATGAAAGGCCCGATTTGTAAATAAACTCAAGTACGTGAGTGGGATATTACAATTGTTTTCCTGTCAATCATTAATGGATAATTAAAGGACATATCAGCCTGACAGGAAGAATTGGTGAAGGTGGTGACTCTTTCCCTCTCCCTATCTTTTTCTGATATGGGCAAAAGGTGTTTCTACGTTGCTAAATCATGCCCATTATCATGGCACCTTCCTTTCTGACATGCACGCTTATGGGAGCCTTCATTACTCTGCCAAGACCAAGCATTTCGTGTCTTCTATCTGCTGATGATGGCCGTCTTTTTTTAAGGTTGATTCATGTATGCGTTTCCTAATATTGCCATGGATCGCCTGTAGAGTTATTGCAATCCATTCCTCTGTGACTGCCATTGTTGTAACAACCGAAAATTAAAAGAATAATTAATAAATAAATAAAAATGAAAAAAAAAAATTGTTCCACCGAGTTAGACTCTAATATAGAAGTGAGGTCTCTTGACTCACCGAACCACTACAATGGCTCCGTTGCATTTATCGTTAGCAATTCAGAACCATTTATTGAATGTTTTCGACTAATTCGACTTGGATCTAATATGTTTGAATCATTTTCTATGATTTTCGACAATTTGGGAGTTGTTTATGACATTTTTGGAGGTATTTTAGGTCCACGTGGTTACTGTTAAACAAATTTAGATTATTCAGATTTTATGTAATTAGATGAGTCAATTTACATGATAAAATTCTATTTTATGATTGTGCTTGCTTCCAGGTGAAATTAGATTTCAAGGGGCAGTTTTAAGCTAACATAAGTGAGTGCCTTTAATATTGGCTTGGTTGGATGACTTGTATGTTGTATGAATGACTTATATCTAGTGGCCATTGTACATGTCATGTTTTATGATTGTTTGACATGTTATGTTATGTGAAAACTTATAGTATGATATAAGTTATGTTGTGATATAAGTCATGTTATGTTATAAGTTATACTATGATATGATTTTGCTATAATATGAAACTATGTTGAGATATCAACATTGTATGATGCATGAATCTTCATATATCACGCCTGTAAACTATGTTAATATGTTCACTCTATGCCTATGAAATACTGGTAAGGCATGTATGTTAATCTTGAATGATATGACAAGTATTATGTATCTATGTCTTATAGAACCCAATGTCATGAAAATAGGGGAGGTATGAGTTGCATCATAAGAATGTCATGACTAAAAGCTACGAGGACCCGATTCATTTTGTATGCCACATGTATTAGGATACTTCCCCATAAAGATTAGTACGAACACGTACCTTACAATATTTGTGTACAACATGATATTAGGCAAGCTTCTTTCGCTTTGTAGCTCTAGCAGTGTGAGTATGCACTAGTCAAAGTCCATACCCAAGGGATACATATACGAACTTGCCTAGTCGGTCCATGTGCATGTGAATAAGCTGTATATAGAGAAGTACGATACATTCTATTTCGATCAAACTTGTCATGGCCCTATTTTCAGAGCTTCAAATCTCGCTTCGTGACTTAAAGATGAAAGTGAAAGCAAATAAAAGAAAAAGTTAAATAAAATAATAGATGAAAATTTGATACAATTTAAATTGAAATAAAGATAAGAACACCAAAATTAAATACAAAATAAAGTCAAGTTATAAGACGGTGTTATTCAATTATTATGAAAGGAGAAAAAAGGTTTGTGATATAATTACAAAACAAAATAGAAAAGATCAGAGACTCAAAACAAATTGATGTTACAAAACAACCCTTTTATGGTTGCATAGCACTCGAATGTGTGAAGACCTATTATTTTTATTTTTTATTTTTTTTTATTTTTTATATAGAAAAGAAATAGACTATTTTAAGTATAAGTTCATACATAATAATATTGAAGTATTAAAGTATTATTTATACCTAATTTTTTCTTTTTAGAAAATAAATAGACTATTTTAAGCTTAAGTTCATACATATACTATTGTTATATTGAAGTATTAAAGTATTATTTATACCAACATAGTTTAAATACAAAATAAGTAACGAACTAAAAAAACTATTCAAAATATACTAAGTTTAAAAACGAAGGTTAGTCTATGTCCCTCGCTCCAAAGTCTGCTCTCATCCTCGCTCCAAAGGGAGTAAAAACTCAATAAATAGCCTTAAGCTAGGATGTTGAATCTTATTGGGTTTTCATGTGATTGGCATTTAGAGCTCATCTTGTTACATGTCACTTACTCATCCTCAACATCCCTTAATGTGTCCCTTAATTTTCTCCATATGAACACATGAATTGTACAATCTTGATCGTATCATCCTGTTAGTAAATTTTGGCGCAGGGCATCTCATATAGATGAGGGAAATAGGAGACTCTTCCTAACATCCTGTTCGTGATATAT